TTTCGGGTCCACATCCTGCCTGAAGATAACGCTGAGACCAGGAGCCCCAGTCTTATTCCAGTTTTGGGGGCCTTCATTAGGGATTGTGCAAATTCAACTATCTGCTACCAATTCTGCTTGGATTGGTGGCCAGAGGACATACTTGGCTCAAGAGTACCTCCTCCCAAGAGGGTGACTGGACCACTTCATAACTGAATTCTGATGTAACATCTCTCACCAGATATCCATCCCCTTCTCCTGCACTTGTGAGTTTTACCACTATTGCTTTGTCACACCATCTAGCATCACAGCCACTGGCCAGTTCTTATCCCCACCAAAGCGAGTACAGAGTCTTGGCATTTGGGGTGGGAATCAGTTGTGGACGTCCCCTCGGTTCACACGGCCTTGCCTGCCAAAAGCTGCGGAAGAGGTTCCTGGGCCAAACCCACATAATGAGATTGTCACCTCCCCAGCTGGCACTGTCCAGCTCCCTTCCTTCAAGCACAAGCCCCTGTATTCTGCCACCCAGAGGTCAGGTGTGGGTGGGAGCAGGGAGAGGCATATCGATGTCCCCATGGACAAGAGACATTCATGCCTCACCTAAGCCTGCTCCTGATCCTTAGTGCAAACCTGTTTGCAAATCTGGAGAAGCCCCAGCTCTGCAGGTGAGCCCCACCCAAACAGGTGAGCATCGTTGAGGGTAGAGGCAATGCCCAGCCTAGTATGACTTATTTTAGGGTTTTCACCTTCCTCATTGGATTCTGGGCCACTTGGCTTTATGCATCTGGCATTTTCTTAATCTCTTGTTATTAAGACATTTTGTCATGTCCACTGGTTATGCCCCCAGCTGAGCTATGCTCCTCCAGACCAATAAGGGATTGGATGTGTCAAGCTGCTCATATTGGCTCCTACTCTAGCACTCTGCTTTCCTCCAGGGACATCCCTCCCTTCCTGTAGGTGGTCCTCAAGTGACTCTTCCTTCTTTCTGTCCTGGTTTGAGTGTCAGACTACCTGTTGATAGGTATACGTTTCTGAAGGGCCTAAACATAGTGCTTTGCAGAGCTCAAATTTAGCTTCCTTAGTTGTCCTTTGTAAGTGTGTGTGTTTGAGATGCCTTCCTTCTACAGAGGTAATTCTTTTGGCCAACCCTTCAAGGCAGGTGATAGATAAATTCACCACACTATAAATCATGAGGAGGTTAAATCTTTGTTTTTATTGATGCCCAAACACAAATTCTCTGGAAAATTCTATTAGAACAACCAGTCACCAAAGAGCAACAGAGCTGAATTTAAAACACTGTAGTACAGTGGGGTTTGCAAATGCTGGTTCTGTTTCCATAAGTGAGAACCTGCTGTTTTGGTCGGGTGCCTTTCTCCAAACCTTTAAAAGCACTTAGGGATTTTCTGTGCTAAAGTGTCTTTTAGAGAAATTTATAATGAGTGGAGGAAAAAACTGCAGAACAAAAAATAAGAAAGACAAAAACAATCCCGGTACTCGTTTTTCCTGTGAAGGTTTTCTCGAAGTCAGCCTGCTGGACGTGTTACACATGCTATGGAATATTCATCTTGTCTCTCTGTGATATCTGTCTTTGTGTTTGGCATTATCGAGCCTTGGAGGTTATCATGAATACCAGTTGTGTGAAATGAGCGCAACCGACAGGATTTAAAGGCTAAAACTAACCTTTCTAATCCATCTATTCCCCATTCTCCGCCTTAGGCCATGCCTCTTCTGCAAGACTAGATGACATCCTTGCTCCTCTGATGGGAGCTGCACTAATTTCCAGAATGTCAGTCAAAGCCTCCCTCCTTGAGGAGTTGGAGAAATTCAGGTTTCTCTTTCTGACTAGACGGAAAAGAAGCTAGAAAGAATTTTCAGAATAAGATGAGAGTTGGTATTCTTGCCACTTCTGCTTAACTTTTTCACTTCTTTTCTAGCTTAGAAATGTAATTTAGAGTTCTTTTTCTTTGTGGGTTAATTAATAAAATTAATTAAAATTAATTGGTGAATTAAAAATATATGTAGGGATCAATTCATCAATATTTTTAATTAAATAAATCCATCAATATTGAGCAACAGCTGTGCGCTGGGCATTGTTCTAAGTGCTCAGGATACAAAATGGATGACGTCCCCGCTCTCCTGGAGCATATTTCCTAGTGAGCAGAGAAACAGAAAATAGTCAAACAAACAAATATGTAATATGAGTTGGTAAGGGATATGATAAAAAATAAAGCAACGTTAGGAGGTAGGGAATGATGGGTGTTGGGGAATGGGGTACCATTTTATGTAGAATGGTCAGGGAAGTCTCTCAGATAAGGTGATATCTGAGCAGAAGACTGACGGATGCGAGGGAGTGAGCCACACTGGATCTTGGGTGAGAGTGATGCAGACGGAGAAAACAAGTTGCAAACACCAAGGTGCTCAGCATATTCAAGGAACTTTTTAGGTTATAGTGAAGCCTTTGGGTTTTATTTTCATTGAGATTGAAAGTCATTGGGGTTCTGAATAAAAGGAGTGACATGATTTTATTTATGTTTTTGAAGGACGAAGTTGGTTGATATTATTAAAAACAGTGTGAGAGGCCAAAGGAGAAAGCAGTGCGCCTAGTTAGGAGGCTACTACAGTTCAGTCTAGGGAGAAGAGTGGATTGGATTAGAGCAATAAAGGTGGAAGTAGTGAGTGGTGATTTGATTCTGGAACTTTTTTGAAGACAGAGCCGACAGGACTGGCTGATGGACCTGGTGTGTGGTATGAGGAAAACAAGAGGAGTCAGGAATGCCTCTGAGGTTTTAGCCTAAATGGCTGGTAGTTGCTATTTGCCGAGATGGTAGGATTGTGATAGGAACAACTTTGGTGGTGATGGAAAGGGTCAGGAGTTCAGTTTGGGACATGTTCAGTTTGAGCTGCTCCTTAGACATCCGAGTTGTGATGCTGAATAGGCAGTTGAATATGAGAATCTTGAATTCAAGGGATGGGGTTGGGGCAGGAAGAACAAATTCTAGTGTCATCAGCGTATATAGTTATCCTTCACTGTACAGAGGGGATTGGTTCCAGGACCCCCAAGTATACCAAGATCCAAGCATACTCAAGTTCTGCAATCAGTCCTGCAGAGCCCACATATAAAAGTTGGCCCTCCATATATGTGGGTTTCACATCCCAAAATACTGTATTTTTGATCTAAGTTTGGTTGAAAGAAAAATCTGCATGTAAGTGGACCTGCACAGTTCAAACCCGTGTTGTTCAAGGGTCAACTGTATATGGTTTTAAAGCCACAGGATTACATGAAATGGGTGGAGAGAGGGGAGAAGAAGTCTGAGGAATGAGCTCTGGGCATCTCCAAAGCTTAAAGGCTGGGAAGGAGATGGAGAGGAAGTGGTCAGTGAAGCAGGAGAAAGCCAACGAGTGTGGTCCCAGAGGCAAAGGAAGAAATCGTTTCAAGGAGGAGCACAATGACTTTGAGAACTGCGGCTGGCTCAAGTAAGATTGAATATATTGAGAAATGGCCATTGGATTTGGACACGTGGAAGTCACTGGTGACCTTGACAAGCACATTTTTAGTAATACAGTGGGAACAGAACTCAACAGTGCTCGAGAGAGCAGAGTGGGGCGAATGGCAGCAGTGTGTATAGACTCCTGTCCTGAGGAGGTTTGTTTGTGGAGGGGAACATGGAGCAGCTGGAGGGAGCCGTGGTGTCTGGGGAGGGGATGTCTGTTTCTTAAGATGAGAGCTCTGATGGCATGTTTGTGTGCTGTCGGGAATTGCCATCCAGGAGAAAGAGCACACAAAAGGATGCAGGAATGAGAGGGGACAATGGCGGGCCCAGGGGGTTGGGATCAAGTGCATAGGTGGAGTGTTGGGGAAAGCAAAACACACTGATACAGATCCAGGTAGGCAGGTTGGTGGATTTGGTGGTGGGAGCCTTTGGAAGAGCGTGAGGGGAAAATGAGGCAGAGGAGGAATTAGGGGCTTGAGGAGGAACGAACTTGGGGAAGTAGTAGAGTGGAATGGTGACTTGATTACAACTGTGCTCATGCCTACCTGTGCTTGTTAAAACACCAGCTGCTTCACCCTGACAGTTTCTGCATTTGGCCCCCCAAATGCAGAGGGTCTGGGGAGGTATGCAAGAGTTTGCAGTTTTCACGAGTTCCCAGGTGATGCTGATGCTGCTGGTCCAGAGACCAGACTTGAGGAACCACTGGATTAGGATGGCTGGCTGGGGCGGCACTCAAGGCCTCCATGCGCCTGGCAGTCATGCATGTAACATGAATTTCGTCAGCACAGTTATTATGTCTTTCTCCAGCTCTGTTCAGCTGCGCAGGAGCCAGCTACAGACTTACCTGAAAAGAGTGAAGAATTGATATCACCAGGATACTTGGAAGGTTTTTCTTCTCTGTGATGTCTTTGTTCTGCAAATGGTATTTGTAAATCCTTTATTTTAAATGGAAAGGATGAGAGAATCTGAGACTGAGAAAGGGGAAAATGAAAGTTTGTGGTTGAAGTTTACTGTTATAGGACTTAGATGTAAAATGGAATACTATCCACCTCTGGTCACACATGGCAATGGGAGATATAGCACCTTTCCCTAAAATACCTGTCAACCATACTGTTTTTGTGATCTACTGAAAAGCAAAATTCTGAAATATACTTTGAAAAACTAAAGCTCCACTCTTTTATATTTTACAACATTATATCACAAACTGAATTTCAAGAGGGTGATATTGTTCTTTGAAAACATTCACATCGCCCTAAAAAAATAAGTGGTTAAATGCAGAGCTTTACACATAGGAAATGAATATCAGCCCACATGGTAAGGAGAAAAACTCAGCTCTTAGAGTGAGGACCACAGCTCATTAATCAGAATAGAAAGAGAAGAACTGACTTCCATAATAAGGAGCAGTGTTAATCCAGGCGGAATATGGAAAGCAGCAATTTAAATATAGTATGGTATATTTACATATTAAGCAATCCTATATTAATTTTTAAATTTAACTGATAGTTTTCTTTTTATTAAAAAACAAAACAGATTCTGTTGGAGCCAGGCGTGATCCAGGACGTATTGGCAGCTGGCAGTCACCTACAGCTGTTGGAGCTCCTCAATTTATGTTCCCACTATCTCATCCAGGTATGTGAGCTTGCATCCTGCTAATATGCCCTTCACATTCCTTTCCCCTGCACTCAGAAGCTGTCCCCCACCAACTGGAGCTGAATGATAGGTAAAATGCAGGGTGTGGGTCTCTGGTAGAATTTCTCTGGGAGGCAAGCTGCCAAGAGGCTCCTCGGAGGGCAGCTGCAGCTCTCGTGTACTATCCCAGAGGTGGGTGGTTTCCTCCATTTTCCCTGCCCACCCTAGCTCCCTACTACCCTGGGGCAGCAGAATAAGTCAACAGCCACACAAGGGTTCCCTGCAAGGTCCTGGGGAGACCACACTGGACATGGTCCTGGTCTGAAACAGTGTTGTCTCGTTTTAGAAATAACCACAAATGCAAGACAAGTTCAATAGTTGTTAAAGGCTTCAGTAACAGTGGCTGATATATCACAAAGTCATATATGATTAATGACCACGTGAACTTCCCAGGCAGTGAATGCTGGAGAGGGGATGAGTGATCTGTGCATTTTCCCCTAATTTGCTGGCTGGTCAGGAAAAACTCCATGAGAGGGAGGCAGAGAAAACTCCTGTACACCCAGCTCTGACTCTGTATTCACAGATGTTCACGTTCAGTCTTCACAACAACTTTGCATACTTTGGTAGATGAAAAGGCAGAGATTCGAAATGCATCCACCTTGTGTGAGGCAATATAGCTGTCAAGTGGTAGTGCTTTGTGATTCCAAAGACTATTTTTCTTCTTGGATGAAAACTCTTTGCTAGGTAGGGAGAGATGGGGCATCTTAGGCAGATAGCATGCCTGTGAGGCTCTTTGACTTGACAAAGAGTTAAGAACTAATTTCCAATTTTAGGTTCCTCCCATTTCCCCCACTAGTGTCACTTTCACTTGCATTTATTACAGTATTATAACAACAGTGATAATTAATTTTAAGAAATAATAAATCCACACAATTTAATTCTGTTACCTTTGTGCATATGACATGATACTAGTGAGCAGAAAATTTTGTTTTTATGCCTAATCACTTTATTTTCCTTTCTAATAATTTTCTCTAATTTTAAATATTTCCTTATCATTGACTTCTGTTTTCTAAACATTAGGTAGTTTACAAAGCTCTTTCTCATATAGCATCTTATGTAACCTTCATAGCAACCTGGGAAGTAGGACCCAGTGCCTCCCAGTGAGACAGTGTGAGGAATGTCAGCTATGTTCACCTAAGGAGCAATTCAACACAGCATATGAAGTTTGTATCATTATCTCAACACATTTAATCTCACAGCAAATGTTCAGCTATTTTTATCTTATTTTCCTTTCTCTTCCCCCTCAATATTGTTAGGTGGTATGGGAAAGCTGTTTTTAATCCCTTTCCGCCAGTAGCAAATGGGAATCACATAGAAAGGTTATAAGACTTCAAAAGTATGTGTTTGACTTGTGAAATTGAAATTACTTTTATTTGACATTTCTACATCAAATATTGCAACTTGAGCTTTACGCATCATCACCTGATTCACTTTTTCCATGACAGGTAATAATCAGTGATGCACGTTGATACAAATTTGGTTATAGTGTTAGTTATCATAGTGCATATTATAAATGGGGTGTGTGTATGTGTGTATCCCTATACCTATAATTTTCTATAAATGAGAATTACAGACAAACATCAAAAGTACATCAATTTTTTTCTCCTGCCCTATCAGATGAATTTGTTGAGATACGAAGTGACTTGTACACTTTGGAATTTAACTCTTGCATTTCATTATTTTGCTGAGGTAAAATAGCTCTCATACAGATATGTTTTGCATTATTGATAGTTATTATTCAGGCTTCTAGAGGAGTGGTTGAAACTTTCACTGTCTTTTCACAAATATGTTTTCATTTTATTCTCTTGTGTAATTTTATTTTTCCTTTTTATTTGTGATTGTTACAAGATGTCAAACTTACAGGAGGAAACTTTGACTATATGACTACCAAAATCACAGACTGACTTTGTCTTCTTTTATATTTTGACACAGTTTTATAGCTATACCTTTTTGCTTTTTAATTTCACATGAGACCATTTTATCGAGTATATAAAAATAATGTTTTAAGTGAAAAATTTCCAATGTTTAAGATGTACCTAGAGATTGTGCCCGTCAGTCAGTGCTAATATATTCTCCATCCTTAGGTGGTACTTTGTCAACTAGGAGTTTTTGAAACTATTCTCACTAAGATGTCAGGTATTGTTTTGTTGTTCTTAAATTGTCATCATTTCTTTGGTTTCTCTGCCTGAAGAGTGAAAGGTGGACTCTGCTCCGATACCTTCTGTCACTAATGCCACTGCTCACTATAAAGCGTGTCCAAGGATAACCATTGCGGAAGGTCCCTGAGCCTCCCCGGACATCAGCCACTGCACCAGCATGAAGAGCCTCTGAACACATGTAGATGCCGCTCCTGCTCCCAGAAAGGAAAGGGACACCTTGAGGCCACTGTGTGGGCTCCTTTCTCTTGCTTTTCCTCTGGCTGGCTTCTGAGGGCAAGAACCTCAACCTGTGGGAGCAGTGCCCTTCTGTGTCAATGAGGACAGCTTTTGAATTAGCCCTGTAGGCTGTGAGGCCTTCACACCAGTTCTCAAAGCATGTTTGTGGGGAAAAAAGGGAGAACAGATAGTGAATGTGATGCTAATTGATGGAGGTAGGGGGTCTTGCCTTTCTTTAGGCTCTCACCCTTCTTGCTTATAGCTTATAATATCTTCTTAAGCTGTCTGCTTGTTTCTAGCTTCAATCCATGCCAAACTTCAGTTCCCAGAGCTTCACTATCTTTCCCAGGGATGTGAACCAGCGTATATTGAGGGCCTGTCAATGCTGAGTGTTTTGCAAAGACTTCCATTCCCACTCTGCTAAGTCACCCCTTAAGGCAGGTGGGTGTTGTTTTCTTTTTAGGGGTGGAGAAACTTAAATTAAGAGGGAGGATGCTAATCTGGTTTGGAAACTTCTGTTAGCTCCTGTGATGATCATTCAGGTGCATTATTTCACATAAAAAAGTCCTTAGCTTCATCTCCAAGGCCAGGCCTGCTCCTCCCAGCCTCATTTCCTGCCATAGTGCCTTTCCCGGCCCGCTTTGTTCTGGACCCTAAGGCAGACTTCTCATGTTGGGACTTGCCATTTTGGCAGAAGACCAGATAGTGGAGATCTTCAGTGGCAGGCAGAGCCTTTCAGTCCCCTTTAGATTGTACCAAGGGGTAGGGGTGGGGAAAACATCACACCCCCCCCACTCACCCTACCCCTTTCCTCTGCTGATGCACAGTGCCATAAGATCAGGGGTATGGGTAACTGGACTTTGTGTTTAATCCCCTAAAAGTGGTGCATTAGTGGCCAGGTGTTTTGCTGAAGATGTCTTTTTTTATTGTTAGCTTTCCAACAAACAAACCAGCCAAAGTTTGTAAATTTTATACCACCACCCCCAAATAATATATCCTATGATTTGATTAACAAGTGTTCTTTCTGTTTGTTAAGGACCACAGTCTTTATAATGATATGCAATTTAAACGTATTGAGAAAAAAGAGCCATCACATAGACTTTGTATCAAACCACCAAAGTAGTGAATACATGAACTCCCTTGGATAGGAATATATGTCTAGTATCTATTCTTAGACAGCAGGTGGCAGTGTGAATCCACCAGAATTCAGTAGTTAATTTAAAGCAAAAATCAGAAAAAATGAGAAGAAAAATTATTTATTTTGCTACATATTACTCTTCTGACCTAATCAGTAAAAAAGTCATTATTCACACCACACTGGGCAATATGCATTGTAATTTTTAACAAATAATAGGAAACTGTTAATGTGTTCACAGGAAATACAGTTTTGTCTTGGGCTGCTGTGGTCATTTATCAGCACACTTTGTGAAATCACTCATTTGTTCTAATTTGAATGTAAATGACTCTAAGGTTTTACAAATAAGGTGACAGACTCACATAAATGTAATTGCAGGGTTCATCTCCCTCTTTTTATATATCACTCATTAGGTTATGAATTAAATACATCGTATTAAACCAGGGGCATGTCCAATGATGATATTGTAATGGCAAATTACTCTATGCTATTAGAGGTGTATTTTTTATTCATGGACATTAATTTGTCATTAAGCGGCATTAGTTTAGCACTTTTATGTGGAAGACGTGACCTGCAAGAGGAGACTGCTGGGATGTGAGAGGAAAGGGACGCAAGGGCTATAGGTAGAGCATTTTATCACTGTACGGGAAACAGAGAGGGGGGTTGTTCCATTGGTTTTGTTTTCTGCTTTTACAAGCATGAAAGATCATTTCCCCAGATTGAAGGTGGTGGTCTATTTATGGCGTGCACATGTAGATCGTCTGGTAAAGCAAAGCCCAAGTTCTTACTATTCATCATTCAGAAGCCAAGAAGGAACGGAAAGGGAATGGGAGGGAGGAAGCGGCCCCCTGCCCTAAATCTCCCCTGTGACTGGTGTTTCTTCGGCATCCCTTGTCTTCGTTAAGTTTTACAGTAAATGGGCTACTGTGAGAATTAGTCATTGAAGGTACAAAGTGAAGGTACAAAGGTTTAAAGAACGTTATTCCCTTAGGAGGGGGTTGGCGCGAATTCAGGGTAATTTTTTTTTGTTTTTGGTTTTTTGCACAAATATGGATTTTTAGTAAGAAAATATTTTTTTCCACTTTCAACCTTGAGAAACACTGGATCCTTGAAATACCTTCACCAGGGCTGAAAGTGTCCGAGTGCTGCCTGTGCAACATTCTGCATGTAGTTGAATGTGGTTGGAAAATGTCTTATACCACTCCCAGCTACACTGAGGGGCCCTTGTGGGCTGGGGTCATGCCTTATACCAATTTGTGTCTCACCCCTCCCTTCCTTCATATTGTGGAAGTCCAGTGTGTATTGAGGGATGGAAAGATACCTCCATTTAGTATTTTTCTCTGCTTTTTAAATACTGAAATTTTAAATTATGGCAAGAAAAATACATTTTCCATTAGCTTTACTTATGTTTTTTAAGTTGAAAATACTTC